GTGTATGCCAACCCAGCTTGCCCACTTCATCCAAAGGCCCACTGAGCCTGTCTCCTAGGCATGAGGTGTGCCCAGGCCTCTCTTCACTTTCCAGAAGTGTCTTCTTTCTGCCTCCTTTGCTGCCTTTAGGCCTCACCCCTCCCGCAACAGGGGGCATTGGGCTGCTGTGTGGAAAAGAGAGGAACTGGGAACATCGAGCACACCAGGGCTGCCCCCAGGCTCCAGAGCTCAGAAAAGGCTCTCATGTTTGAGCTACCTGGGAAAGTAAACAGGTAAAAACACTGAGCTGACTTGGAGGGCCTCTTGTCCTTGAGTGGGAACACTTAGCCTGTGTACATTCACCTGCCCTCCGGGGCCTCCACTGATTGTTCAGCGCCCCTGCGGCCCTTTCTAGTCCCTTGTGCTTCTGTCTCTTTGGAGCCTTGAAAGGCCAAACAAACAAACAAACAGCTTTTCCAGCCTGAGGGAGCTTTCCAAAGGAAGTTCTTTCCGGCCTTGGGGAAAATGATTCTCTTCCTCCCCTCTTTCACCTTTCCTCCAGGCCTGCAGCTCTCTTTGCGCCCATCCTAAACCTGGGCAGAAGGAATACAGAGCTCGAGATTTGTTGAGGAAACTGGAGTCTCAATGCTGAGAATAAAGACCAGGGGCAGAGGGCCTACTCCTGCTCAGGTGACCCTGGCAGGGGTGATAGGTGGAGTTCACAAACCAAAGAGACCAACGCCTGTCTTCCTCCGGCCTATATATTGTCATCAAACATTTTTCAGCACGCGTCTTAACTTTGTTCCCAAGTTTGTGGCAGACAAGCTCAGAGCATAGCATTCACGAGCTCCCCCAATGCCAGCCAAAGAGCCCAAAGCCCAAACCCAGACCTGATGGAATGCAGGATGCTGTCTTCTCCCTACCAAATGGAGCCTGAAAAGAATTTATTTACTAAAGAATTCGAGATGGGCAGACTAGATCATATCCAATATATAGTGGAAAATACAATGCAAGGGGACACTGATATGTTCAGAAATGACAAGGTGAGGATGGGAGGGACTCTGGACAAGGGTCAGGGGCGCGGGGCTGGGTCCTCTCAGCTTACTGGGTGTGCGGAATCTCGCCGAACCGCGAAGATCCAGGATGTGGTGCTAACGAGACCTCTTGGGGAGTCCTGGGAATGCAATCATCTGGTTAATTTGTGTGGAAAGGTGAGTTTGGTGTCTGGCCCCAGCTCTTCCTGCCGCAGGAAATCCAGAAGACCCTAGATCCTACTTTGGGCACCGGACTTGCCCTCAGCCGCTAACTGGTCCCGACCGACCTCCCGGCGCCCGCAGCCTACTCCTGGAGGACTTTCATTTTATGTTTTTCTTTTAACAAGCCTAGTTTCTCCCCTTCAATTATGAGCCTCCCTGCGGCCTTCCTGCACCATTTCAATTGCAAATGTCAGGGCTTTGGGAGCGACGCGGGAACGCAGGGCAAAGAAGCGTTGGGGGAAGTGGACTTTAGAAGTCCCAGGAAACACTGAGTGCAGTGGCTCCGGCGCGCGAACGCTGCATCAGGATGCAAGGCAGAGGCTACCTCCACCTCCCTTCCTATCCCGCTGCCCCGAGGCCAGGGGAAGGGGAAAAAAGCACAGGCTCGGTGAGGGTTATTAGGGAGCGGACATCCAGGCGACGGCATGTGCGGGAAAGAAAAGTGTGGCCCTGAAAGTGCTCCGGGAAGGGGAACCTGCTACCTGCAGCGCGGAAGGTCTCAAATTGGTTGAGGACGAGGGATAGGCGAAGGTGGCGTGAGGAGCCCTCTTTTTCAAGCCGCCATTGTCAGCACTCTCTCCCGAATCAATTCCCTTGAGCCAGGATTGCCACGGGAAACGGTTGTCGGTCAGGTCTCTGAGGTACAGGCCCTTAGGCAGGGACTTGATCAACAGTGACAGTGCTGATTAGTTCCAAGGAAAAGAGTCCACTATGGGGGCGGGGGAGGAAGGAAAATTTGGGAACTAAATGGAACCAGGTGGTTCCGAGGTGAAGAAATGAACACACTGCCTGGAAGCCGTTGGGTGGGGGGTAATGACTCCTCTGCCCAATGATGCCTCAGGGGACGTGCAAAAAGGGACACTTCTCACCAAAAGGCCATTTTCACCCAACCCAAGAACTGGCCTGGCCCTTCCCCATCCCTGGAGCCTGCTCTGGTCATCAAGAGAATCCTGCCCCTCCCCCTAGGACAGAGGAGTAAGAGGAGAAACCATGGGAGAATCGTTTCTGCAGTGCTTGGATTGAGGAACTTTTTCTTGGCCAGTTATTTATTCAGCAGCTGAGTAACAATGGCTGCAGCAGGCCCACCCGCCTCTGTTTCCAACCCCCTCCCCCAACTTCTGGAGAACCAACTTCCCTCCTCCGACTGGCAGGACAGAGAGCTCACACGTGAAAGTGGGGGAAGGGGAGACAAGGAGGAAGGAGGTTGAGAAAGACTGGAAAGAGAGAGGGGGAAAAACACGAAAAGTAATGGGTTCGAGGAACACGATTCAAACCAGTTCTAATTATTTCAGGGGGAAAAAATGAAGGAGGGGGAACGCAGCAAAGAAAAAGTAGGGAGAGAAAGAGAGGAATGGGGAGCGTCGACATGAAGGGGTTTCCTTAATATTGTAGACGGATTCAGAAATGAATGAAGAGATAGTCCATTGAAAAGGGTTGAATGCCATGACAACTAGGAACAACCTTAGATTTATTCCAAACAGTTAGGACACATTGAAAGAGAGCGTCAATCATGTATTATTTCACCACTGAAATAAATGCAAAAACCGAGCAGGGACAAAGGCTTCCAACGGGAGCAGGACATTTGTCTACATTTCGCTCATTGTCCGCAGCTTAGCAATCGGTTTGTATTTGTGTTTGCTGGAGTCTGACCACCCAGGACGCGCCAACGAGGAGCTCGCTCTAACCTGGGCCTTTGTCACCCACGTCACATACTAGAGAGGCAGAGCAGGCTGAAGAAAGCCACGGAGCGGCTCGGGCAGAGGCACCCTCGCTGGGCACTGGCAACCCAGGGGCTCAGCGGCGACGGCAGGTGCATACGAGAATGACGCAGCGCCCTCACACTCAGCAGGGCGGGTGCTGGAGCGGCCTGGGCCATGGGTTGAGGGAGACGAGACCCGGACTCCAGCGCGGCCTTGTCTAGTCCCTCCTGCCTCCAGGCAAAGCTCCTTCCTGAATCTGTGTAGGGGAGGGACACACACCAGGTAGCAACACCCCCCTCCTCCACTCCCCGGAAACTGGAGGGAGGGTAAGAAGTGCAGAGCCAAAGTAGAGGTGCTGTCCCAGGAAAGTTCTGTTCCCAGGCTGGCGAGAGAATGAGAACTTTAACCACACGTAACGCGAGCTGGGGTGGGGCCTGGGTCTTGTCCTCAAAATGCGTCCCTGGGGCGTCCAAAAGGACACAAAATTAAAGGACCCGCTTGGAAGAGAAAACGCATCATCATCGGCTCGAACTGTAACCCCCATCTCCTCGGCTTTTGGAGTACTCACCTAGTCTGGAAACAGCGCCCCTGGCCCCCACTTCCCTCACCTCCATTCCCTTCCCGCTCATCACCACTGCTGGAGGCTGGACAAGGAGGGGATGAAGAGAGTGACATAATAGGGGGCAGGAAGGTTGCAGGGCAGTCTGCCCTACCCCCTTCCACCCAGAGAACAGAGCCCGCGGATTCCCCTGGCTTCTAAACCTGGATCCCAATCCGGGCTAAGTTAGGGTACCCCACCCCCACCCCACCCCGCTCTTCCCGGGGCTACTCGTAAAGCCGCAAGTGAACTGCGCAGCCCTTCTCCGGCGCAAAAAGATGGAGAGGGAGGCGGAGTAAGGGAAATAAATCTTTAGCAAATAAAGGGTGGGTGGGGGGTGTCGCCTGGAGGTGGCATCAGCCAGCCCCAGCCAGCCCTCTTCTCGGTTTCGGGCTCTTTCGGCATTACCTAGAATCAATTAGTTGCCTTGTCATTTCTAGTACTCATCCTTAAGCCTCAACCAAAATATTGACCTAGGAGGCTTACAGAAGTTGGGCTCTTGCCATTTGAACCGGATCCTGTTTAGGGAGCCACCAGCGATGAGAAGGGGAGATTTCCGCGGCTCAGCCTGCGCCTCCTTCCCTCTTTCCAAAGGCGCCACAAATTGCCAATTTTCCGGTTTGCTGGGGGCGGGTGCGCGGGGGCGGGGAGATAGGAACCTGTGGATATTATGCAGAATTTTTTTTTCCTCCTCTCGGTTTCTGTTTTGTTTTCTCTCCTCCTTTCCCGCTTTTTTAAAGATGCAATTTGTTAAAATGGCTCTTTCAAGTGTGTGGACTCGCGAGCGACGCGATGGTCCTTTGTATGTAAATACCGGGTAAAAAAAAATAAGGCTCCGCCGGTCTTTGCAATTAATTGACACGTTACACCTCTCATCTTGCTCTAGAGGGCCGTTGGCTGGCAGCGCGGAGCTCCCCAAAACCCACAATTTCAAATCTGCAAATACTGTCTTCATCCACTTGACTTCCAAGACCCGCCCACACGTGTCCAACCTTTGGGTTTTAATGTCTTACCCCCCTTTTTTCCACCCTTCTCTCGCTCCCTCACTCACTCCCCCTCCCTCCCTCCCTGTTTCCCTCCCTCTCTTTCTCCCCCTTTCTCCCCCTCTTCCCAGGTTCGAGAGTGGAGCCCAGCCTTATATGGACTGATCGCTCTGGCAATGGCCCATTTTTTCCTTGCCACCAACCACCACCGCCCGCCCAGCGGCCCCTGGAGCCGGAGCTGACGCCGCCTTGGCACCCCTCCTGGAGTTACAAACTAGGGCCGGGCACTCAGGCCACCCAGCTCCGTGAGTCCATTTCTGCGTCCTTTCAGAAAAGACATAGACGCTGCGTTGGGCTTTTATCCCGCCCCTTCCCATAGTTGTTTTTTTTGTTGTTAATAATTACATCAGTAATTAAAGACCATCCCCCTCCCTTCCCTCCCCCAACCCCTCCCCCATTACCCCCTCCCCACCCCAACTGAGGAGCGCCAAGAATTGACCAAGTGAAGCTACAACTTTGGGACATAAATTCTGGGGTCCCAAGACATGTCGCTGACCAACACAAAGACGGGGTTTTCGGTCAAGGACATCTTGGACCTTCCGGACACCAACGATGAGGAGGGCTCGGTGGCCGAAGAGCCGGAGGAGGAGAGCGAGGGGCCAGAGCCCGCCAAGAGGGCCGGGCCGCTGGAGCAGGGCGCCCTGGACACAGTGCAGAGCCTGCCCCTGAAGAACCCTTTCTACGACAGCAGTGACAACCCATATACACGCTGGCTGGCCAGCACCGAGGGCCTCCAGTATTCCCGTAAGTAGCGAAACTTGGCTGTCTTAGTCGTGGCCGCCTCTACTTCTGTGGCAGCAGCACTGGACGCCGTGGAGAGGAAAGGGAAGGAGACATTGAAGTCCGCACCCCTCACACTGTGCTTCTACAAAGATTTTTAACACTTGTTTAGGATGGCTTAACTCTTCAAGCGCCCCTAGTCCTGTAAAAGGAGTTGGTCTCAGGTTTTTGTGGGGTTTTTTTTTCGGAGAGAAATTAAGAGGAACTGGGGAAGGGAATACCTCCCAAGGCTAGTTAGAGAAAGTCAACCGGGACTGATGGCTCCTGCTGTAGCCCCCCCACCCCTCCCCCACCGCCATTCGTACAGCGGGGAAAGACTAGCCTTACAGTGGTGGAGCAAGCCAGCAAGCCTCAGCGCCCGGGGGTGGGGGAGGCTCCTGGTAGTCCGGGTGTAAATAGTTCACCCTGTCCGATGACCGATCATAGAGGACGCTTTGTGTGGGGAGGAGGGTGTTGAAAAAGTCCAAAAGCAGAAGACAAAAGTCCCCCAAAACCTGCCTTTAATGACCTAACCGATTATTGCCCGGATTGTGGGATTTTTTTAAATAAAATCTGCCCACGTCTCTCCGGAAAGAAAATTGTTTAAGGGGGCAAGATCCCTTAACCCGCGATGATCTCGGCGCGCCAATCCTTCCGATATGCACCCACTGTACAAACCCCTAGAAACACAAACCCCAATCCCCACTCCTGCAGCTTCTCCTCTTTCGCCAGGTAGACGCCGACTGCTCGACAGGCATGGAGCAGGGCTAGGGTAGGGGGACAAGGCGAAGAAGGCAGCGGGGTCGGGATGTGAGGCGCGGGGGGCCTTTGGCGCATTGAGGATCGGGGCGCGCAGCATCTGGCCCATTCCTCGTGCTGCCTGCCGGAGCGTGGCGTGCTTGTCTCTTCCGCAGTGCACGGGCTGGCGGCCGGAGCGGCGCCCCAGGACTCGAGCTCCAAGTCTCCGGAGCCTTCGGCGGACGAGTCACCGGACAATGACAAGGAAACCTCGGGCGGCGGTGGGGACGCAGGCAAGAAGCGGAAGCGGCGGGTGCTGTTCTCCAAAGCGCAGACCTACGAGCTGGAGCGGCGTTTCCGACAGCAGCGGTACCTGTCGGCACCCGAGCGCGAGCACCTGGCCAGCCTCATCCGCCTCACGCCCACGCAGGTGAAGATCTGGTTCCAGAACCACCGATACAAGATGAAGCGCGCGCGGGCCGAGAAAGGTATGGAGGTGACGCCCCTGCCCTCGCCACGCCGGGTGGCCGTGCCTGTTTTGGTCAGGGACGGCAAACCGTGCCACGCGCTCAAAGCCCAGGACTTGGCAGCTGCCACCTTCCAGACGGGCATCCCCTTTTCGGCTTACAGCGCGCAGTCTCTGCAGCACATGCAGTACAACGCCCAGTACAGCTCGGCCGGCACTCCCCAGTACCCGACAGCACACCCCTTGGTCCAGGCCCAGCAATGGACTTGGTGAGCGCCGCCTCTCTGAGACTGGTGGCCGCAGGCCCAGGCTCCACCCTGGCGGCGGCGGCAGTGACAAGAACTTGGTCCTTAAGGTTGTTATTATTGTTGTTGTTGTTGTTGTTGTTGTTATTATTATTATTATTATCGTGGAGTCCAGTTGACTCTTGGCTCCGTAAAGGAGGCGCCAGGAACGTGCCTGCGCCTCCTTAGAGTGGCAGATTTCATCCACCCTGCGCTGCCCCCGTCCGTCTCTGCTTTTGAACCTTTGCAGAGGGCTGAACTATAAGTGGTGTTTACAGAATGTTTTTGCGCAGCTTCACTTCTTTGCCTTTCCCCGGGGCGGGGCGGGAGGACCAAATAGACCCAATGTTAACGTCCTAACCCGCGGAGGAGAAAAAGGCCAACTCCCCTTCCCCTCCCCCAGCTTTTGTGAATTTTGTTAAATATGTGTGTCAGTAGCGATATTGTCAACCGTCTTCTTCTAAAGCAAGTGGAGAACACTTTAAAATATAGAGGATTTCCCCCATTTTATAAAAAAGATGCTAAATATTTATGGCCATGTAAACGTTCTGACAGCTGGTGGCAGATTTCGCTTTTTGTTGTAAATATCGGTGGTGATTGTTGCCAAAATGACCTTCGTTCGAGATGGGCCTGTTCTCTCTAAAGACCCAACTCTTTTCTCTGTGGTTTGTTTTGGTTTGCTTATGTTTGGTTACCTCTGCTTTCTTATTTTCTTTATTTTGTTCAGTGTAAACATTTCTCAAATATAAAAAAAGGAAAAGTGTATAGGCGTGAAGTCCCATGCCCCATTGTGGGAGTCCTGGGCCCCGGAACTTGGAGCTTAGTGGTTCCATGAGGTTCCCCAAGAGCGCCGGGCGCTGGAAGCTTTCAATTTTTTAAATACGAATTTTAATAAAAATCCTGTGTTTAAAAAAAAATAAGCCCGGCCGTTTGTCATATTTTGTCGCCCTGCGCCGGGCCTAGGCTTCGGGCAAGGACCCGGGCCAAGCCACTTGCAGCTCTCTTATCCACGCTTCTTCTCTGGGTGGGGGGGCGGGGAGCGAGGATCCGGCCAGGGGTGCCCAGGACGCAGGAGATGCTCCCAGACCAGCGTTACCCGGGCGGGCGGTTCAGGCCCCGCATCTTGGACCCCGGGCCGGGGAGCGAGCACTTGGCCTACGGCCTGAGAGCTGTGGACCCGAAATCCGGGGTCGCCCGCCTTTACCGATGCCTCTCTCCCGGCCTCCTGCGCTGTCTGAATCCGGGGCGGCGACGTTCTGGCTTTGGCAGAAAAAGTGACTTTGGAAAATGCAAAGGCGAGGGAGCAAGCCCCCCTCGCTCGCCCAAATCTACGAGTGGCTCCTTCAGACGGAGAAGCTGTTGAAGCCACTACACTCGTTGACTTTCACTTTGTTGCATTTGATTTACCTCGCGCTAAGAAGGCCAGGGGCGGAGGGGGGCGGTGGCGGTGGCGCAGCGGCTGAGAGTGGCCGGCTTTCTCTCTATTCCCACCCCTCACCCCTTTTTCAAAATCCACCGACCTGAGGCGGCCTAGGAGACTGCTTCCAGGACTGGGCTCGGGAGCGGATTGTGGTTTTCGAAAAGCTCTAGGCTTTGGCTATAAAGAGGGGCGCCGGAGAGGGAGTGGGTGCTGTGCCTCCTTTAGGCAATTTGGCCTGGAAGAGTCAAGGAGCTGCAGTTAGTGGTAATCCCTGCTAACGGAGGCTCCCTCCTCCTTTCCGCCCCCATCCTTTCCATGGTTTCCATTCCCCTGCCCTGGGACTGGAGCTTCATCCTGGTCATCTCCTAGCATTTGGCTGCGTGCAGCCTCCCAGACCAGCTTTTTGGCGTGAAGCGGAGTGGATTACTTGCTCAAAAGTAAGGGGCGGGAAATGGGGTGGTGAGCTCCGGCCTCCAAGACTGGGGTGAGAGGAGAGTGAAGTGAGCAAACAGCCCCGGGTTTGCCCAAGGGAGATCGCCTCGGTCCTTGTCTGGTAGACAGCTGATTCTATCCCACCCTGGTCGCAGGGAGATCTCCTTGACGCATGCTGGTACATTCTTGCCCACAAGGAGGAGCGTCTCAGGGGTCGTGCAGACTTGAGAAGAGTGGGTGTTTCTCTTCTATCTTACCGGGGTTTTGTAGATGAAAACCAAAGGAGCGCTCTGAGACACCTCTGCATTGAAAGTGTGCCGCATTGGGAAAGTGTACCTTTCCTATCTTCCCCAGCTCTACTTTTGTGGATGGATGGGGTCGGTGGAGGGGGTGAGAAGCCTGAGCAAAGAGAGCAGTCCCAGCTGACTTTCTCACTCCCTCTAGTTGCTGATCAGATTTAATTCAATATCTAAAGCAAACATGATTATCCGTGTGACCAGGTCTGCGCGTCAATAGCACTCAGCGCTGTACACCCTGGGAGGTGATTACACGTTATTCCCAAATTGCGCACCAGCCCTGGATAATTGAGGGTGCGGGAGTCTTTCTAATACAATCCTAAATGTCCTTTCCCATCTCCAGGTTCATGTGGTTTCATCCAGGTTTTCCTAAGTGCTGAAAAGTCTCCATTTATTCCCCACACTAACCTGGAAACTGTTCTTGCTGCTTGTAAAAGCCAGGAGAATTCTCCCCCGGTCACTTGTTGTGCAATAGTCCAATACCCAACTTGTCCTGGCACCAACCACTGAGCATCCCACTCATAACTTCCTATAACTCCAAATCCACTGGGACGGGAGGTGAGAGCTCAGAGCCTCTTGGAGTGGGTTTGTCAGGAGGCCTGAGGCACAGCCCCAAGGCTACATTCTTGGCCCAGGGCTTCTAGGGGCCAAGATGGATCATTGGAACTCCCAGGCTTCCAGGAAAGAAGGAGGTGGCATGGAAAGTCCAAAATCTCGTACGTTTTCACTGCGTGTGCATTTGGGGCAGTGGCCAGGCCCCCTGGCCTGCAGTCTGGGTGTGCGCTGAGCAGCAGGGAGGTGGGCCCGGCGCCTGCCTTTCTCTGTCCTTGGGTCCCCCTGGAGTCAATAAAAGCACCCGCAGAGCCCTGTGTGGCCCTAACCCCAGTGCCCTTGGAGTGCACCCGGCGCCAGGTCTGTTTTGGCAGTCTATCTTCGCCCAATCTATAGCGGTACACACAAAACAGCACAATGGGAGAGCTGGGAGCTGGGGATGTTAGAGGCGTGCATATTAAAAAAGGACAGAGAATGGATCTCAGGGGACCAAGAAGGAAAGAAGGAGAAGGGGCCCGCCTTCCTGCCCACCCCCACCCCCAATCCACCCCGCACCATTCAGCGCGCTTATCCCAGGCAGTGAATCCCGGAGTCAGGCAGAAGTCTCCTTGGGGTTTTGTTGGGCCTGTCACTGGGTCCCTTTGTCATCCGCAGGCTCCATGCTGGATTCCATATGGCCAGCTGGGCCAAGGGAGCGCGAGGAGGGATCCACACAAAACCCAAATTGTGTCCGGCTTTCAAACCCTTTATTGTTGTCTGTGAAAGGAAGACGCATTAAAAATTCGTGCTATATCTATTGGGGAGGAGATTGGAGGAGGGGAAAAGAGCCACCCCTGTCTTTGATGGATTCAGAGGGCACTTGCCCTGCCTAGGCCTCGTGACACAGAGAGCTGGATCTCTCTCTCTTCCTCCTCCTCTCCCTACTCCCCTACCACCCACTCCCTTTCTACCAAATATCTGCTGTAATTCTAGGGCTCTGGCCTTCAGTGTTTGGGCTCATTACCGCATTTTACTTGCTCAGGTTCGTCAGAGCTGGCAGCTAGGCTTCTTCTACCTAGGAGTCCTGCGTGGAAGCCGTAGGACTGCAGGGCTCAGAAAGAAACTGGTTTCCCAAGGCCTGGGGGATACCCCTCGCTCTTGGGCTTCTGGGATCCAGGGTAGGTGAAAACCCACTCCCCTGGTTCCTGCACTGGTCTCAGTCCGATGACCTGGTGCACTAAGCCACCTTTGCAGGAATTGCAGGAAAGGTTTGGAGAGGCCAAGGAGCCCCTTAATCCTCGGCCTAGGTGGATCTCGGACCTAGCTGGTTCTGAACCACGTCGACTTTGCCCCACTCCGCTACCACCCTCATGTCATTTGAATTATGTGCAGAGATCCCACTGGCATCTTGGTGTAATGGAAAACCAGTTCATATACTTTTACCAGCCCCACCTTCCCCCCCTCATGCCATGTTGGAGGAGAGAGGGACTTCCTCTTTAATCCTTGATGTCTCCAGAATCGCTTTGTTAGCAAAATTCAGTAACAGGGAGGCAGAGCAGAGCTTCCAAGGAATTTGCTGGGGTTTTTTTGTTTTGTTTTATTTTGTTTTTGCCTTACCTAAGCTGTCTGAGTTAGCATGGGGCAGTGGGAGATCCTTTGGACCATGTGCCTCACCAATAACTGGGTCCAGAACTTCCATAAGCAACCCCAAACAAAAAATATGTGCTAAACAAAGAGAGTTTGTGCTGAGCACTGTGGAAATAAAAACAGAACCCACACATGTTCTCCTGTGGGCAAAGTGGCTCAGCCCTAAGGAGCACAACAGAGATGGTGGGTATTACAGCTAATCCAAAATTTGGGCACACCTTCTTTCCCTAATTAGTGCTACTGTCATATTTAGTAGAATCAGATAACTCGAAAGGAGAAGGAATCTCCTTTTCAACAACCCTCACCCCAAACAGGAAATTCACTTATTTTTCTTACCTATTGACTGTTAGGCTTAGTTGAGACCTGGTGTGGATTTCTGGAGCTTTTTCAAGAGCCTGGTCATTGAAAAGCTAATCCAATATTTACCGAACATAAGGACAGTTCCCAGACGTATTTATAAAAGCTCATGTTTAAATGATTGCTTCGACTGAAGACATAGGCCAGGGGAGGGGCCTCCAGAGGACCCAAAGCCTTCCCGGATGGGGTCTTCCCACCCAGAACTTGGAAACCAAGCGCGGACTTGTGAAAAATGCTGAGGTTCCCTTCCCATGAAATGTGGAAGTGACATGTGGATTAGATATTGTGTTGGCCGGTATTTCAGGAAATATGTACTTGTGGCTTTCTGAGAGGCCAGGCACAATGACACTCTAAACTGTGTCGATATATCATCTTTTTATCCAGGATCTTCAAATAAACTCCTGATTCCCCCATCTCATTATAAACGCCGCTATCTCTCTAAGGAAGCGATCTGAGTTTTATTGCTTTCACCAACGCCCCAACTCGCTTGCTCTCTTCCTCTCTCCCTCCCCTCTTTCTCCCACCCTGTTCTTAAAAGGCTTTAATTTTCTTTTTCCTCCCGGAGCACCGTTGTTAATAAAAAGACGAATAGGCCTCCGCACCGCCACCCGAAAGAATGGGAAAATGCAGGCCTGCTGGCGGATCCAGGGCCCCGCAGACTCAACAGCCTCTGGCGGGAGTAACTTCGTGGCCCGCACGCCACCGCCAGGAGGCGCCGGAGCTCAGCGCTCCCGCAGGGTATTTGCGATCTCAAGCAGGATTAAAGCTTTCAGGTCCCCCGGCGGCGGGATCCGCCAGCTCCCCGTCCGCCTACCCGTGCAGCGGAGGCTTGGAAAGTGCGTGTCTACAGGGCCATCTGCACTTGGGGATACATTTTCCTTGCTTGTAACTTTCTCCCATTCTTCCGCCACGTGCATACCATCTCCTCTCTCCACCCTAGGTTCTATCAGGACAGTGAACTCATCGGGTGGTCTGGGCGCGCGTGGGCCACGAGGAGGGCTCCACAGGAGTACCACGATGCGGCCTCTGCTCTCTGGAGTGATCCCCACGAACGTATGGAGTCCAGTGGGTGGAATGCGGGATAGGCAGTTCTGCAAGGGAGCGGTGAGTCCAGTAGGTTCAGAGAGCGAGAGAATGGTGCAGACGGCTTCTGATTTTGGTTAGGG